GAAGCCCAAATGCAGGGCACCAGTTCCAAGAGAAGTTTTCTCTTTCTATTGGCTCTTAGGGAAGGTCTCTGTTTCCTCTCAACATCTGTGGGCTTGGCAGCCCTTGGAGATCTCCATGTGTCATGGCATCAGTCTTCCCCGGTACAGGGACCTGGGTCCAAAGGACATGCTCCACTCCTGGCTCTTCTTTCCTGGTAGTCCTGAGATCCCTCTTTTTCTGATGGCTTCTCTTTCTTTCAATCTCTTGTAAGATAAAAGGCAATGTAGACCACACCTCAAGAAAACTCCCTTACAGAAGATCAGGGCTGTGGCCTGATTAGAGGTGTTACATTCTCCCCAATCCCTTTACAACTGATGGCGTGATGGCATGAGATCACATGTTGGGGAATTACATCTTTCCATAACTGCCTAACTACATCGTTATGTAATTGCCAAGCCACTGAGAATGATAGCCCAGCCAGGTTGACACATAGTTTTTGGGGACACAAGTAAATCCATGACAGCAACATTATGTACAACAAAATGTTGTGTTGGCCTTGCACCATCTTAACAATCATTATTATGTTTTAGTCCATCATTGCCAATTCATCTCACTAAATGTTTCTCTCATTTTCTTTGACCCTCTACTTGACCAAACAAGATGTGCTTTTCTAGTTTTTGGTCTTTTTTGATACTATGCCTGAAACGGGCAAGCCAAAGTCATGTCATGTTTGCTTCTAAGGAGCATTCTGATTGTGTTTCTTCTAAGACTTATTTGTCCAGAGTTGTGCTTTATTTATTTTCAATCCACAGCCTACTCCTTGTTTAAATTGACAGTGTTTTATTTATATTTTACACCATTAAGGTACATTGCCTTATTTCCAGTTCTTGCTTTATATGAAAAACAATGCTTTTATAATTTTTTTCCTAAAATAAACTTTGGGACTTCATTTTATCATATATAAATAAATGTAAATATAGCAAAGCTCTTCTATTCTTCAGTGGATTGGGATTCTGTTGTGCTGTCTACAACTGTCAGTGAGCAAACAATCCACAATTTGGCTTGGAGATCTTGAATTCATCATTCATTGGCGTCAACAGCCAGTATACTGCTTGCCGACCTTGAGCTCGTCAGCCCCTGCAGGAGCATTTGTCTGGTAAAGCCTCCATCTTTTTGTTTGATCCAAGAACTTGGGTCTTGAGAGTTTCTATAACATTTACTGAGGAGTCAGTCACAAGGATTCAGGTGAGGAGAGGGAACCCAGGCCATGTCCCACAAGTGGCAAGACAGGAAAGCAGGGAAAGGACAGAAAAGGCAAAGGGGGCCAGAACAGATTGAGGAATCAGCTTCAGGGATCCAGGTAAGGGTGGTTGAAGAGGTTTCCAACAGCTAAGAGAGACAAACTTGTCTGTTTGTTTGTCCTACTGTGGTGACATGTTGCTGTGAGTCTTAAGGCTGTGCCAATCAGGATGTGTTAATTATCACTGTACTGGAATGCAAAAGTTGGAAACAAAGAAGAATCACTGGTAGTTGGAAAATATGGCATTGGTGAGAGAAATAATGCTGAAACTTGCATGGTAGAATTTTTCAAGACCAACGACTTATTCATTGCAAACTGTATTTTTCAAAAACACAAACGGCGGCTGTACACACCAGATGGAACACAGAGGAATCAGATTGACTACATCTGCGGCAAGAGGCAATGGAAAAGCTCAATATCTTCAGCTAAAACCAGGCCAGGAACTGATTGAATAGACCATCAACTGCTCATATGCAAGTTCAACTTGAATTTAAAGAAAATTAAACCAGTCCAAGAAAGGAAAAATATGATCTGGTATATATCCCTCCTGAATTTAGAGATCATCTAAAGAATAGATTTGATGGATTGAACACCAAGGACCAAAAACCAGAAGAATAGTGGGATGACATCAAGAGCATCATCCATGAAGAAAGCAAGAGACCACTAAAAAGACAACAAAAGAAGAGAAGACCAAAACGGATGACAGAAGAGACTCTGAAACTTGCCCTTGAACCGAGAGTAGACAAAGCAAATGGTAGAAATAACACAAAAAAAAGAATTGAACAGAAGATTTCAAAGAGCAGCTCAAGAAAACAAAGCCAATTGCTATAATGAAATGTGCAAAGACCTGGAGTTAGAAAACCAAAGGGGAAGAACATGCTCACCATTTCTCAAGCTGAAGAATTGAGGAAAAAATTAAAGCCTCAAGGTGCAATATTGAGAGATTCTATGGGCAAAGTATTGAATGATGTGGAAAACATCAAAAGAAGATGGAAGGAATACACAGAGTCACTGTACCAAAAAGAACTGGTCAATTTTCATCCATTTCAGGAGGTGGCATATGATCTAGTAC